CCAACGTACGTGCTTCTTGGTGCATATTTTGGCCTGTTGGCCTATTAAGTCCTGGGTTCTTGTTGGCCACGATCCAAAGTCTGCGTTTAGTACTAAGGGGAAAAACCAAAACCCCCATTCGCATAAATGCTTCATGTTGTTTATTAAAGACATGCGACCCATTTAGCCTGCATATTGCGCATACGCCCTGTGGTGAATCAAATACGATCCGCGTCATGACTAATGCCAAGATTAAGCCGAAATGTAAAATCTGACACGTGAATCGTCGTAAAACTATGCGAAAACAAGTTCACAAATATTTTGAATATTTTTCTTCTCTCTTTTTTTTTTCATGTTGACTTGGCTAAAAATAAAAAAACAAAAATCGACAAGGAAAGAAAAAATATTTGCAAATTAGGAGAAACTCTCATATTTTTGAAGCTAGCCAGAGAGATGAAACTGAAACTGAATATATAACAAAAGGCACTTGTCTGGGTGAAATTTTCACTAGATATTCAAATGAACCAGACAACAACAACAACAAGAGTGGCTGCTGGCTGAACAAACAAACAACAAACGACAACCAACACACAAAAAACGGAAACCGTTAAAGCCAAAAAGACAACAACATCAAACGTTAGTTTTTGGAGTCGCTTTCAAATGGTGCACTGAAAATAAATTGGGTATTAAGGGATTTAAGTAAATTTGATTTGGAATACTTTATACAAGAAATGTTAAAATATTGTCTTGAAAAATATGATGTAAAATGGGAATAAAGAGTTCCTTAAAAAGTGTATCTTAAGATGAGTATCTTACAAGATAGTTTGGATAATTAGAATGCAATACATAGGCAAAAATGGCAGAAAAAATATCTAAAAAATGTTTTATATTTTACATATATTTAATATTACATTTAAGCTTTGTTTCTTTTCGATTTATATATTATCCAGTGTTTTTCTTCAGTGTACGTTGTCGCTGATGTTGCTGCTGTTGATGAGGCGTGCTCCGTTGTTTACCCCACTTGAAAGCGACTGAAGATCAATGGATTGTATGACCAAGACCAAGACCAAAGTTGCTGGTGTTGGTCTACCACTTTCGTTGTTACTGTTGTTGATTTGTTTTTTTGTTTTTTTTTTTTTGGTTTCTGTGTGTGTGGTTGTGTGTCTTTTTTTTCCCCTGAGACGCCGCTAGAGCTTTGAGCGATTTTTCATTGGAATAGAAAGTGAATTGAATTTGTTTTCGCTGGCGGAATGGACGGCGCGTTTCATTGCTCTTGACGCGTTGTCGTCTTCATTGGGGTGCCGTTGTTTACACTGAAAACAAAACGAGATCGAACAGAAAGCAGAAAGCAGATGCTCGCCGAGGCGGAGACAATCTTCTGGAAATTGGACCATGTCATTGACCTTTTCGAAGTTGCCCCAAAAGCAGTGAGAGTGTTGTTTGTTGTTTATCTTTCGGTTTCAGTTGGTTTTTTTTTAGCTTGGGGAAAAACACCAGTGAAAGAGAAGCTTTTATGGTGCTCTTTGTGGACTTTACTCGAATGCAATTACTTTTTGGTGATCTGGGGGAAGTTTCCAGATTGTGACAGGAAAATGTTGGAAAATTGATAGGAAAAATTGATCATAACTTTCGGCTGAATTTAAAACAATTACTTTTTATGACAAACTGATTGCCAAACGGAACTATTTTTATGCATTTTTCAGATTTTTTAAATTAAAATTTTAATAGAAAAGTATTTACTATCAACCTTACAAATATTTATGTTGTATTTTTCATTTTATGCCTACGTTTTAATGCAATGGAATGAAAATGAACTCATAATGTCCTGCCAAACTTCGATCATTCTGTAAACTTGTAATGTAAAATCAATTTATGGCTTCTGATAAAAATAAACAGATTTTGTTATAAAAATATCTACCCTAGATGACCAGCCAAATTAATCGAGTCATCCAGAGCGTTGCTTATGTCCCAGATTGATTTGACATCCACTGTCGCTTTCTATTTGCATTTGTGGTGTCTTCTAGCGTTTTCCAATGCGGAACCATCGAAGCCATGGCCTGCAGTCTGCTGACTCGATTTCTTTTACCAAAATACCGAAAATGTGTAAATTAAATGCCGGGCAGAGAGGTGGAGAGGCGGCATCGAGCCAATGGGTTTATTCACCTTTCGCCTAATTATCAAAATACATAAGCGGAGTGTACCAGAAAGTGATCACACATACATATGTACATACTCGTATATGTATAAACAAACATATGTGCAAAAGCTTCGAGCCAAACCAATCCGATGACGAAGAGACAGAGGCTTCGGACTCGACAACTTCAATGAAATCAATTTTTTTAAAGGCCTGTGAATCCAAAGCCGAATCCGAAACCCTGCCGATATATAAACATTGATTCAGACCCGGCCAGCAGCTCATGTACCGTTGGAAATTTCTTGCCTTTTCTTTTTCTTTTCTCAGCGTTGTGTATAAATTTTGTTTTGTATGTATGTGTCTTGTTGCTTTTTTTCGTTGTTATTGTCTTGGACAAATGTAGGTCAAGTTATACGTTCGCCTGATCGTGTGTGTGTGTGTGTGAGTGGGGCTCGTGGGATGGAGTTATACGTATATATATATGGCAGGGTGGATCCGGGGGCGGTACTCAATGGGGGGCAAGGGGCGATCATCCCGTCGCACTCTGAATGACTGACTAAAAGTCGGGCGAAGAGCGAAGAGTTTTTCTAGTAGCTCCATTCCCGGCCAACTTTCACTTAGAAAGTTCTGCTTGCGGTTATGCGGAATTGGTTTTGTCGATTTTCGTCTCTTGTTGATACCCTTGCTATAGGGTCTGTGGAGCATTTATTCCCAGAATTCACACTTCACACGGAAGAAAGTTTGACAAGAAAGAAGATCAAACAACAGCTGTGCTTCTACATCTTCTTAAATATTTGTTTATCTTATCAAGTTTTATTCTGTTAGGACATGGAACATTTTGATTAAGAGACTTTACTTAACATAGAGTTAATTAAAAAACAAGAAATTAATATCTATTTAAGAAAACTTAGAAAACTTATCATATTAAGCCCTGTTAGATCTGGAAGTAACTTGATCTTTCTTTCACCATTGCTTAGTCATAGGTCTCAAATCGTTGTTAGTCACTTATTCACTGTTGTCAATTATACTATTTTCTATTATCTATTATACTATATCTATATTAAAATTACTATTATCTAAGTCATAGATCATTTTATGTTTACTTTAATGAACTACTTTAATGATCGCTTGAATTATAACATAAAAATAAGATGTTAATTAACTACCTAAAAAACGATTTATTTTAAAGAGTATTTAAAGTCTCGGTTAACTTTCTTCACTTCACAGTGTTTTTTTTTCGGGGCGTTATGAGTTGGCTTATACCGTCTGTGGCTGAAAGCGATATTCATTCATATCGGCGAGCGACAACAACAAGTTAACTGGGTCAGCGCGTGTGTGGGTTCCCGGGGAAGATCTGATTGCACTTGGATCGAATCTGATCGATTCGGATCGAATTCGATATGATCGCTTAATTGCATTTTCAATGCGAATCGCTAAATGTCTGGGAAAGCTTTCCGTTAGGCGACGTCATCATCGTCATCATCATCATCATCGTAATAGCCGGCATAGCTCAGCAACCTTGGCGATCAGCTGTTGGCTCCGAGTGGATTTCCCTGAACTTCATACTGAAAAGCTAATGTGCGCGTGTCTATTAATAGACTCTCTTTTTTTCTCGCAGTTTTCCTCTCTTTCCGCTCAGGCGTGTGTGAAGCTCTCTATATTTTAGGGAGTGCGGGGAGGTCTAACTTCCTGCTGGAAAACCTGCTGACAGAGAGCGTGTGAAAAGCTTGAGGCTCTCTTAAGTGGAAAACTTTACTGGCTTGCGCTCTCTCTCTCTCTCTCTATCTTTCTCTCTGTAGTTTTCTCTCTCTGTCAGAATCACAAGTTCTCGGCTGTTGTGCTATTATTGACCTAATCACTTGTGGAGCACAAACGAACATTGAACTTTTACTTCCGCATCGAGATTTGCTCTTTCGATAATATGTATTGCATTGGGAAAATGCATATATATATCTATATATTATTCATATATCTCCTAAAGGGGGTTTTTCAATTTTTTTATTGATCATTTCCAGGCTGCTTGGCTGGCGGCGACCGCCCAGTGACATTAATTAATGCCCACAGATTCATCAAATATGCGCTGGCCGTTTGGAAAATCATATTTTATGCTCCCCCGGCAGCAATTTGTCCGCGGCAGAGCCTCCAGAGATCTTTAAGTGTGCGTGTGTATGTGTATTAGTATCTGTCTGTGTATCTGGAAAATCTTGTAATTTAATGCGACAATTTTCGTGCTGGTCGCTGGTCCATCTATTTACCACCATCGATGGGATACAAAAATCCATAGAAGAGAATAAAAAATGCACTCAAAATTTTCATTTTTAAATATGGTTTTCTTTTAATATTATACTTTTTAATGGGTCTTGAGGGGTGTATGGGAGTGTGTGTGTGTGGATGTCTGAATGACGGTCGAAGGTGTAGACATATAAATAGCTTAATAAACTTAAGATCTAAACAAAATTTCTCGCTCCGAATGAAAAAAACATTATAAATCGTTGGCAATAAATAAAATGATAATTTAAACAAACGAAGATTTGCTCGGGAAATATGACACTAAACGTAATACTCTTTGCGTAATCTTTTCCAATTTGAAGAAGCAATTACAAGTGTATATATCGGTATATATATATATATATATAACATATATGGTGTTTGTGTGATACAATATAGGATATAGGATATGTATGTGTGCGTTTCCATGTTTTTTTACCATGCTTTTTTGTTTGTTTTTGTGAACAGCAATGAACAATATTTAATTTAAATAGTATGATAATAATAAATAATTAATATGTAATAGGTATTGGTAGGCTAAGCAAAAACTACATAAATACAAAAATTGGCATCGCTGTTTGGGGACTCCCCCAGCTTTCTCCTTCGCCGGCAGCTGGAAGTCTCCTCGCGGCCACGAACGCGCAACCAGCGCGCTCCCCCAATCATGCCCAGAATTTGTGTTTGTTTGGATAAGGCAAGGGCTATCTGATGGGGATCTTGCAGTCAGGGATGCCTCAGTACTGCCCAGTTGGGTCCAGGCAGTCCTGTCGCCTTTTTTGGCGGGTTTCCTGCGAGTCCCGAGGTCGCCTATACGTTCCAGTGGGATCCAGCATTTTGTAGGTTAGTGTTTTTTGGGTTTTCGTTTGTAAGAGTTATTATTTAGCTTTTGTGATATTTTAGCCCTTTTTGCTTGGCTAAAATGGGTTCTTAAGATGTGAACCTTAGTAGGTGCCAGTGGGGTCCAAATCCAGAGACATTTTGAGTTTGATTTTTGCTAACTTTCAGATTGTTTCTCAAAGAGTATATACTTCTGATTCTTGCTTCTTCTTCAGTACTGACCAGTGGGATCCAGATAGGCGGCCATGTTTAAGATCTTTGATTTATTAAGATATAATTTATAGATTTTTAAGAAATATCTTTGACGTTTCCTATAGCTTCTTCAGTACTGGCCAGTGGGGTCCAAGTAGGCTGCCATTTCGAATGTCGTGTATTAACCAAAAATACTTTAATGACAAAACCGAGTTGGCTTTTTGTTGCTGCTGTTTCTGGTGCTGTCGAATCTCCTTTGTTTAATTTGAATCAACGCGATATTGAACTTTATACTGGTTCTCGTCGCTGTTGTTGTAAGTTCTTTTATTATCACCACCAATCGTTGTTGTTGTTGGTTTTCTTGGCTGATTATACAGTCACGTTTGGCTGTGTGTGTTTGGTTTGGGTTTTTTATACTTTTCGTGTGTTCAAGAGTCACTGACACTTAAAAACATTTATTGTTTATTAATAAACTGAGAGAGATTGTCAATTTAAGTTCTTTAGGTGACCGCACGGAAAATCTTTACGTGAAAAACTGCGAGTTTGGTTAACTGGATTTTCTCAGATATTTTGAGATGTTTTTCTTTTTTGCTTTTTAGCTGCTGATCTGCACTCGTCGAATGTTGTCGATCTTTTGATTTGATTTTCGTCAAGTCGTAAGCTTAAATGCTCGACCGGCCCGACGTCGCTGCCGGCGTCGCTGTCGAGAGCTCCGTGAGCGGGAGAGTGTGCAAAAGAGAGCGATAGCTAGGCAGGTGCGCGCCGCTCTTAATGCCATATCGCTCTTATTTGAGTGTGTGAGAGCGAGTGGGGAGATCAAATGAGACGATTGTGATATTCATTCATTTCCAGGTGAGCTAACTCTCTCGCTCTCGCCCGCTCTCTTCCGCTCACGCTCTCTCGCTCTGCTCACACCCACCTGGATTTCATTCACCAAACAGCTGTTTCTGATCGAGTGCCCTCGTTATGCTCACACATCCAGGTGACTGTGTCCGAGTGTGTGTGTGTGTGTGGGGTTCTCCAATGGGTGTGGGTTAGTAGGAACTCAGGTAGGAACTATCCTTGAATTCCATTGGTCCTTCGATTTCCGATCTGCGATCCTGAGACAGCAGACTCCACCTTCTTTTGGGCTCCTCAGCTAATTGAGGTGCATCTCTGGGCCAAATTTATTGTAGTCTCGGCGAAGTACACCGGAAGAAATGAGTTTTGAAGGTAAATTTCTAGAACATTGTTTTATCATATGTCTCATTTCAAAGATAAGAGGGGATCTATATAAATGGGTTTACTAGAGTAAGCAAAATGCATTATTTTATAAAGAAAAATTAAACAATTTACATAAGTTTATTAAACATATATTATTATTATCGAAAGTCAAACCAAATTTAATGGCTATATGAGGTAATTCTATAAAAAGTTCTTCTAAGCAAAATGTTTCTAAAAATATATTGAGTTAAACTTATTATTGTAGATGAAGTTTAAATAAGATTAAGTCGAATTACTACCAACCAAACCTAAAAATAGCGAAATATTTAAAAGAAATTAAATTCTGACTAAAAAAAAAGTTTTCATAAGGTTTATGGATTCATTTTATAAAATAAAGCACTTTCAGTCTCAACAAATTTACAAATTAGACGCGTTTTGATAATAAATAAAATTAATAAGAAAAAATTGCATTCTCATCATCATTATTATGGACCTTACCAAATAATTCTTTAACTTTTTAACAAAAGAATTAAAACCGCTTTAGAAACATCCATCAATATATACAAAAACATATATCCTAGTCCAAATGAGCAAATATAGATGTTAACCCGAGATTGTAGCTGTCGCCGTTTGGGCAAACAGAGACGCTGAGTTAAGGATCCTTGCCAAAATGCTAATATCCTTATGTGCCATAAGTCCCAAATTAATGGTCTTTGAGCCGGCGGCGCGACGGCCACTGCCCACTTTACGTGACATTTGTGGTAGCCTAAGCCGGGCCAACTCGAAAACTGGTAAAAACTCAAAAGGCTTAAGCCGCAAATGCCGACTCATAAAAAGGATAAACGCTCGGCATGAGTCAGCAGGGCGACCCACTGGAACGACGGGTGCTTCCGCGAAATGCGACACCGGAGGCAGGTCCACTCACAAAAGGCCACCAAAAAAGAAAGAAAAGAGGAAGATACTGCACCAAAGTGTTGCAGAATTTCTCGATTTTTGTCATATTTTTAAACCCAAAAATTACACTGGTGTCCAAGTCAGCTGGTGAGGCCAGAACAGAAGGCCTGAAGGAGCTGATTACAAGGTGTGTCATCTGCGGCACAATAGGAAATATAAATCCTTTCGTTTTATTACAGCGACGTAAAAAACTCAAAAAAACAAGAGAATGGGACTTCCGGCTGGGAACAAAATATTCGATTGAAGGACGGCTGCTCGGCACGAGCGGGGGATGCGAACCCTTTGGCACGGGCCCGGAGTTGGGACTCACCTTGAGATTGAAATGATGTTCCATGCTTGTAAGATGATCGTCACACCCTTTGGCACGGACTATGACAACATAAGGGGACCTATAACCGCCTAAATTGAAGTGAAATGAGAAGTTAAAGGATCCTTAAGTCTTCTTTAAATGAAAACCATTAAATGGGTCTTCAAAATACTTTTTTAAATAAGTTTTTATGCTTAAGTATACATTTTAAGCTAAAATAGTTTTGGAAACATATTCTCTTAAATATTTTCCATAATTTTTTAAAATTTAAAGTTAAGGAGACGCAGCTGTAGTTTTTCCTATAGCAAAATCTCTCGGGGGTCCATTAACCTTATGCTCTTTGGGTCACTCTGTCTGCCTGAAGTTTTCCGTTAGTCTGTTTAACTTACCTGGCGTGGGATCTCGAGAGCCCCAAAAGCCGATCCGAAATTTACCTATTTAAGTGCTGCCCCGGATGCACATCATCCTCGCTGCATTTTGGCGCTTCCGCTTCTGGGTTTTCACTTTCCAAACAGTTTTTCCTTTTTTGCTTTTTTATTAACGAATTCGTTATGCATCGTTTGGGTTTTCGTTTTTCCTTTCCGTTTTGCACCTTTTGTTTTCCCGAATGCGCCACGTGCCACATCCAACATTTGTTGGCACAACTGTCAGTCGGTGAGTTTTCCCCCTCGATCATCACTTTCCCTGCCGCATTTGCCTTGTAATTTGATCAATTTAATATTTTTTTGGTTTTTGGTAAGACGGCTGCTGCTGTGGTTTTCTTAGTTTACCCAGACTTATGCAATGTTTGTTTCCAGAATAAAAAAAAAAGAAGAAAACTCCGAAACGGTCTTGGAGATTTTTTAAAAATTTGGGTCAATGTTCGTTGTGTTTTTTGGTTTGTGCACATTTAACAGTATTTTCCGCTGACTTTTCTTGCTCTTGGACTTGGCCATGCAATGCTGCAGTTTTTGTTTGCTTTTCATAAATTGCCATTGCAACTTGCAGAAACTTGTTTGTTGCTGCCGCGTTGACAGTTTGAACATTCGTGCTTTTGCTTGATAAATGGTAACTGCTTTGGCTGCAGAGCTCTATTGGCCTGACTAATAGTCACCTAAGTGGCTTAAATTGCTTGACACTTTTAATTAACCATGAGACAAACTGGCCCAAAAGGTAACTGTAAATGGTAAGCACTTGGTCCAGTTGACCCAAATTGTCCAGAAAATTTGAATTGGTAATCTATTCTTGGAAAGTCAAGATCTGCTGATAACTAAGGCATAGATATTTCGTTATGAGGTACTAATGTGTAGAAAATCTATCTCTACTTATATATAATCCCTACTTACGAGTATATAAACCCAAATAATAAACTAAGTTTTTGCCATTGCGTAGTCATCTCTTCCGAGAATCCTGACCGGGGCAACGACTGTCCAAGCTTGTTGTGATCCACGTGCCCGCCGGCATCAGTATAAATTACATTGTGAACTTTTACTCCAGATTTGGTCAACGAATTAAATCAAGTAAACGTGACTGTGATGGAACTTTTCCTCGATTTCCAAACACCTAACAGCGCCACCACAGCCACCGAATTGTGGATTGGATTGGCTTGGCTTGGATCCCAGTCCGAGTAATGACTGACGAATATGTTAAGCATTCGGAATCGGGGGGAATTGAATATGCTAAATCGAGCAATCGGTCGGTGGGTTCATAACAGACGCACTGACGCAGTGACGCCAAATGCAAATCCCACAGATACTTGTCTTTCGGCCAACGGTACGGCAATTGCCGAAACTCATTCAAAGAAAGAATGAACGGTCCAGGATATTAGGTAAGTCGCCGCCCGGCCGTGCGGGTCGTTCTCCGTTAATGGCACCAATATGAGTGGAAAATCTGCGGGCGGTGCATAAGAATCTGCATATGGATGCGGCATATACGGACTGTCGATCATTACACAGCGGTCAAACGGTCAATGGCCTGCTTGCGCATCAGCCGCGTATCTTGCAGATACTCCTCCTGAGTAACTCAGTATCTCAGTACTGCGATGTGGATGTGGCCACCACCACTGAATGCTGCTCGATGGCACGTAAGCAGTCTTGGCATCTTTCACCATGTGTTGGCGCAGCTTACGCAAAATTATTTATGAAAACAGAGCCCGGCAGAGAGAAAAACAAGCGTATAGAAAGTCCAGCAATTGGCCATCGAAGTTGGGAATACCCTAGAGGGTGTGTGATGATCAGAATTGGTCTAATTTTTATGGAACATTTCCGGCAGTCATTGGGATTTGTCTTTTTTTAAAGAGATTCCAAAAAGTAATTTTTTATTTAGTTAAAAGTAACTTTTAAGAAGCTTTCAAGAGGGAAAGGAAAACTGATATTACATTTTTAAATTTATTATTTATTATATATAAAGATCAGGTCCCCCACAGCCTCAAAGATTTAGAAACTAAAAGGTTCTATTCAAGAAATAAAATCTATTACATTGATAAAGTTATGATATATGAAATAACTTTTTTCGTTTATTAGTTTATGATTTATTTTTTATATTTTTTAATCTAAGTAGGGAGAACAGATATTATATAAATTTGTGACTAAAAACATTCTATCCAAAAATCAAGACCTGCTGCCGAAGTGGGAAAACAACAACTGCCTTTGATTCTGAGCTATCAATCAACGACAGCGCCTTCGGAATGGAAATGTGGAAATGGCCGGGCGGGGAGTTCTATGGAAATTTCGCATTGATTTGCATATGCGACAAACGGCGATGGACGACGGACTTTGTGATTGTGATTGTAATTGCAATTATCGTGCAGTTTGTGGATGGAATAGTGTTCAGAGTGTATCGAGTATTCGAGTAGCCGAGTATCTGAGTATCGGAGTATCCAAGTATCTGGTAGCTGGAAATGGAGATGTCGATGTAGATGTAGATGGAGAGTGCGTGCGAGTGTAAGAGTATCTTATGCATGCCAACTATGAACCTTGTCCGCGCTCTTATTACAGCTTTGTTATTGATTTCATAATTTATCAGTTGCGCCCACTGTCAATGGCCATTAGATCAATGCATCGAATTGCATGCAAAACAAAGGTGCCGCCTTCTCAATGGAAAACTCTTTCGGATTACGAAAGTCATAGGATTTGGCCTTCTCAGAGGGGGAGTGCTGAGGCGAAAAAAAAAATGACAAATCAATCTGTTGGCAATCAAAAATGACTTCCCCATGGC